CTTAATCCATACATTATTTCAAAAATTTTTGTTTTTTTAGTTTTTTTTATATACATATTTTATAAAAAAAATTATATATAAATATATATATGTCATAAAATAAGTTGCTTAACAGTGTAAAAAATTTATGGGTTAAATAAAAGTTTGCTTAGCAGACATGAAAAATATTTGCTTATTGACCTTAGTAAATTTTGAATTTTTTATCTGACCTATATATATATTGTTCGGGGTCCTGGTTAAGTTGATTAAGTTTTCTATTAGGATCAATATATTTATCTTCATTAAGATTTTCTTTAACTTTCTTAAGATTGATTTTTAATCTCCTTTCTTTTTCTTTTTGTTTTAAACATCTATCAATCCAAAAACTCTAACTTTTTCAAAAATAAAATTCCTTAATAAAACTAAGAATTTTTCTTGTAAATTTTGATTTTCAAAAATTAAGGACGTGTATGCTGATAACTCACAAGAGATTATTCCTTTAATTAAATCTATAAAGGTAATTTTCATTTCACTGTAGGTACGATCCCAAAAAGTCATTTTATTAACAAGCTTATCATCAATTATAGGATCTTTATCTGCATTAATCAACAAAGAGTTACAAGCTCCTTCAAAAAATTCTTTTGTTTCTTGAATAATATTGTCCAATTCACTAGCACATGATTCGCAAGTCCACATGTGATCGAAAGTTTCATCACATTGTTTGCAAAAAGAACATTTCCAATTTTTAAATATCTTATAAGCCAGATATTTTCTTTTTTCTACAGTAGGAATTTCTTCAGTTAAAAGAGTAACTAACTGTTTTATATAGGCTGATTTGTTTACTCTGCATTAAAAAAAGTTATTGATTGATTTTCACAATTTTTGTTACTCAAAATTGTTTTGTAATACCAAAAAATCATCTGATTGATGATCACTTGACTAAATAATAAGTTGAACAAAAATTTACATTTGCGAAACTTAAATTATTAAATGTAAAAAAAACCCATTTCACTAATAAAAAATCCATTTCTCATATATATGGAATTTTTAACATATATTATTAAAAAGTAAGTATATTTTAATAAAAAATAAAGTAAAATAAAAATTTATATAGCCTTAGTAGCTATAAATGTTTATAAAAGTATAATAAAAATATCATATAAAAGATGGTATCATAATAGATATTTTCAAACAATAAAAATAATTATTTTATGTCAGAGTTTGTATTACCATCTTTAAATGCAAATATATCAAGATTCACTGATCCGTTTTCTATAATTTTAGGCTCGTTGGAAAGCCCTTGTTCTGGACTTTATAGGCGAAAAAAGAACTTGCCGATTGAATCATTAGATCCGGAGATATTTACGTTTAAAGTTGAGGTACGAACTTTTTAACATGTTTAAATGCAAATATCTTGGGATCCACTGATCTATTTTGTATAAATTTAGGCTCTTTAGAAAGCTCTTAATCTGGTCTATATGAACGAAAAAAGAGCTTGCTGATTGGATCACTGGATCTGGAGATATTTACGTTTTAAGTTGAGATATAAATTTTTAACATATATAGTAAGTACTAAGAATTATATTAATTTAAAAGAAATATTTACCAAATTATAGTATAATAACATTAAATAAAAATTTTTTAATATTCATTTTCAATTTACTGTATATTATATAGTATTTTGTATAATAAAAATGTAATAAAATTAATATTTTAATTAAAGGTAGACAAATCAGCCCATATGTGAAACTCCATTTTTAATATATAAATATATATTAAAATATAGATAAATTTTAATACTGCCACAGGTGATTATCATCATAAAAGTTTTTTTTATGTATTATTTTATTTACTGATTCAACTCAAATCAAATAATTTTATAAAGTATTTTCAGAAAAAAAAGGTAAGTAATATGTGACAATGTGACATTCACCAACCAATTGCCTGATTTTACACCAACAATAGTTTTTCTGCTTGATTGGACCACCCACCAAAAAAATGGATAAAAAAAATTGTGAAAGACTTTTTGAAACCCCTGAGGTAGATATTTAGATATAATTTTATAAAGAGAAAAGGAATTCATTTTTTTTAACAATCCTATTTTCTGCAGCACTCTACCAATAAAAGTAATGGAAGTAAATGGCGAGAAGTAAAGGAAATTATTACCGAGAAAATTTGTGCATTGTGGCCCTTATCCACTAGTACATATCTATACAAGCTCAGACACGCTTTGTCTTTTGTGAAGTTTCTATATCAAGCTTCCAATCAGCAACTGTCGTGAAATAAAGGGAATACCTTATTCGGAAACTGAAAGTTTTGCAGAAACAGTTCAAGAAGCTAGAACGAAGAAAGAATTTCCATCCATATATGTTAAATCTTACTCACACAATACAAAACAACTAATAAAAAGTTTCATGGCCAGAGTTTCAGTTGCTATGTCACCATCGAAACTGCCGAATATAACGAAAAAAAATGTAACAGAAATAAAATTTACTGTAGCAGAAAAAAGAGCAGAAAAAATGACAATATTTCAAGGGGTAAATTGCACTGGTCGAAATCAAAAAAATCGGACATATGGAAAATCGGCCAAAAATCAGACCAAAATTGACTAACATTATAAATCGGCACATCTGATTGATGCCAATCAGACAATTTGATAAAAATTCAGCAAAAAATCATTATA